AAAGGCCCCATTTGGTTTAGCATTCCAAATGCTTATTTGAGCTTTAAAGTCCCTTGGCCAAATGCAAATGGTGTTTGGCAATTTTTTTTACTCACTTTGGAGAAATACAATTGCATTTGGAATGCTCCCCAAGGGACCTTTGGCCAATGCTCCACCGGAGGTGCTTTGGGAAGTTGCATTTTGGGAATGCAAATTGCACTATTCATCGACACTGTTCATCTTTCCCAGATTGAGGTCTGGCGGCTGGCGATCGCCGCCTGAGGGCTAGCCCGACCCCGGCGACCGCCACCTGGGGTCGCCGGACCTCGGGCGTCACCTGGGTTGCGCGGCGACCCCAGGCGGCGGCCGCCGGGGTTGCGCGACCCCAGACGATGGTGGCCGGCGACTAGATCTGGCCGTCGGCAGTTGGCCGGCGACTAAATCTGGCAGGCGACAGTGGCCGGCGGTGTAGCTCCATCGGAGCTTTTTTTAAAAAAAAAAAAATTAGCAAAAGTCCTTTAGCCCAAGTTGATTTTAAAAAACATTTACCAAACACTACTTGCATTTCGAAAAACCCCTTTAGCCCAAAGGTATTTGCATTCTCCCAAATGCATTCCCCCAAAGTCGAACCAAACGGGCCCAAAGTACTTGGATAAACTCCAACTTTTGTTTTGTATGGATGCACTGTTTTCGCACTTGGCTGTTAAGAGATTTGATTGGCCCATCCTTGGAGTTTGTCGATAACAACGTTCCCTGAGAGCTGTTTTAGCCAATTTTTATTTATTTATTTATGCCATTATAATATACATTTTGGATACTATAGTCCCAGGTCTACCTCATTAAGCATGGGACTATTTTTTTTCTCCTACCCCGGATTCTCATAACATCTATACTCTGCAATGTCACATTTAATAGGTCGAGTGCATGGATCTCACGTGAAATCCATATGATCCAATGGATTGTATGTGTTGGGCCTTCATGCACCGAGTGCAGATAATAATTTTCCCGTTGTTATCATGTCCAAGTGATTCTGGTTTGAGAAGCAAAGCAACCTTTTTACGTCTATGCCATGTTATCAACATTTCATTTTGAAAAAGAAAACTGTATACCACTCATTAAGCAAAGGTTTGGGCTAACTGGCTCCTGTCTATTATCGTATACAGTGAACTTGATGACCTCATGTAGAAGTAAATAATTGGAGAGGTCAAATCTGCTCAAATAGAAGAACATGAACATATGAAGTATTGTCATTTTCTCCATTAAATGTGGTGTTTCCTTGCCTATTCAAATTCATACGCAACAAGAAAATCGATGACTAGTGCCCTATAGGTGGAAATTAGTAGGGACAATTTAATTATTTCTATAATGTCAGATTGTGAATGAACGAATGTTGCTAGGGTAATTATTCTTTTCGTCTGACCACTGCACAGTTTTTCTCATTCAGTTATGTTGATAAACTTCTTCCATCTTTATTGGATGCCAATGCCATTGTATCCGATTCTTGGGCCTTCAATTTGATTTTTAACTTTTGCCTGTTCTATTCACGCGTGGATTTGGGGCAGGTTGTCCGGGAAATACAATACTTGAGAAGCAGAGTTACTGTTACTATGGAGGATGGTTGTGTCTATGATGCCAATTACGCGATTTTATCCGTTAGCATTGGGGTTCTCAAGAGTGACTTCATCTCGTTCCAGCCATCCATGCCCGTACACATCTCCCTTCATTTTTTTTTCTCTGACTATAGAGTGCACCGAAATCACATGAATAATATGAAAAATTAGTACAATCGGAATTATTGGGCCTTACAATTAAGATTCCAATAACTATTGGGAAACACTACTGCGCAAAATGATGCTTTTGATCGATTGAATGAACCTGTGAACACACTCGAAAAGATCTCTTGGTTATACTATAGTCCTAGTTTTCCCTTGCATTTACCGGAATATCTCGACCATTTAATTCATCCAATTGCTCTACTAAATTACTCAATATTCATGGAAGACTAGTACTACCATTTAGAATTCAATATCAATATTCGACGGGAAAAGTGCCGAATAAGTCCTAAACCTTTTGGGGTAGTGCCAAATTAGTCATAAATCTATTTTTAGTGCCAATTGAGTCATAAACCTTTTGATATAGTGCCAATTTAGTCATTTTGGCCGGATTTTGCTGACGTGGACGTTGGCCGGCCGGCGACCGGTCACCGGAGCTGACGTGGACAAAATTTAATAATATTTTAATATTTTTTTTTTCTTCTCCCTCTTCCTCCAGCTGGTCGCCGCTCCGGCGAGGTCGACCTCGCCGGCCGGAGGGCGAGCCACGCCGGCCATTGGCAAGGCTCGCCCTTGTCGACGACGGCGAAGGCGAGCCTCGCCATGGTTGGGCGAGGGCGGGCGAACCTCGCCAGCCCAGCGCGAGGCTCGCCCTCGCCGGCGACGGCGAAGGCGAGCCTCGCCATGAGCTGGGCGAGGCTCGACCTCGTCGGATCCTGGCGAGGTCGGGCCTCGCCCAGCCGCCGGCGAGGCTCGACCTCGCCAGATCCGACGAGGTCGAGCCTCGCCCAGCCATGGCGAGGCTCGCCTTCGCCGTCGCTGGCGAGGGCGTGCCTCGCCGGTGCCGGCGAGGTCGACCTCGACCTCTGGCCTCCGGCCGGTCGCCGCTCCGGCGACCGGCAGGAGGAAGAGGGAGAAGAAAAAAAAAAGAAGAAAAAAAGAAAAAAAAATTCAAAAAAATATTATTAAATTTTGTCCACGTCAGCTCCAGTGACTGATCGCCGACCGGCCGACGTCCACGTCAGCAAAATCCGGCCAAAAGGACTGAATTGGCACTATATCAAAAGGTTTAGGACTCAATTGGCACCAAAAATAGGTTTAGGACTAAATTGGCACTTTCTCAAAAGGTTTAGGACTTATTAAGCACTTTTCCCAATATTCGACACAACTGTCATTGACTCCCAATAGAACGTTATCCTCGTGAAAGATTTCAGGACGGACGAATCCTATGAAGTTATACCGCGCCAAAAAACTTTCTGTTCTTTAGGATGAAACATAAAAATTACAACTATGCGTGTCCATTTGGAAGTTTACTTCTTTAATGATGGCGTCTAGAGGTTTAAGCAACAATTACGATTACGGCTTCTCTTTAGTTGGTGGTCCCCAAAAGAAGCTGAGTGATGTTTGATCTATTGTCCATTTTGACTTGGTTCGATGAAGTATTGCACTGATTTGTGAAATAATGCCCAACAGGGATGGAAGACGGAGGCGATAGAGAAGCTTGACGTGACGGTGTACACGAAAATCTACCCAAAGTTTCCGGAAAAGTTCTGGCCTTGTGGACCCGAGAAAGAGTTCTTCATGTACGCACACGAACGGAGAGGTTATTACACATTTTGGCAGGTTTGTGAACAAAACTTTTGTAGCCATCTAATGGTTTTTCTTTCTTCTTCTTCTTCCGGTTTCCTTGGTCCCAAGAGTTTTTTCTCATGGGGAATCGAGTGCTTATTGATGTCATCCTCTGGGGGTCTTAGAAAGTGTAAGAAACTGTTTGCTCAATATTATGAGGTTAACATGTTTGGTCTTGTTAACAAGTAGTATACTGGACTATTTCTTTAGCTGCACTCTGGAATTACGTTGCAAATGCAGCCAATTTGTTTGATTATGAGGTATTGATACTAAGTACAGCATTCAGCTTTCGAACCCATAAGATTGTAATATCTCCATTACTTTCATTGGGAAAACGTTGTAAATTGTATCTGCCACACATGGTCTTCGATACTGTAATTTGCTTTGATGTGGAATCTCGAGCAATGTTTTTAATCTGACTGTATCATGTGTCGAGGGAAACTTGTCTGATAAGGATGATCGTGTTGTTTATCTCTGGGCATGTCATCAGCACATGGAGAATGCATACCCTGGTTCCAATATTCTGGTTGTGACATTGACAAATGGAGAATCAAAGCGTGTGGAGAGTCAATCTGACGAAGAAACACTGAAAGAGGCTATGGAGGTGCTTAGGGACATGTTTGGTCCCAATATACCTAACGCCACTGGTATACTCGTCCCCCGCTGGTTGAATGACAAGTTCCAGCGTTGCAGCTACAGCAAGTACCCCGTCATATCTAATCATCAGGTCGTTCAAAGCATTAAGGTAGGTGCTTATCTTACTTTCAAATATTACGAATCCTGGATGTTCCTGTTTTCATGTTTACATGTTGATCAGTGTAATTCTTACTTCTGGATATCCAAGCTTGGACAAGTTGTTATTTATGGCTTGACAGAAAATGTATGTCTTTCTGAATCAATCCCTTTACGGGTTAATTTCTATGTGAAATCTCTAGCGGCTTTAGATTCTTTTACCTTTACGATGTCCTAAGAGAAGCAACTGGAATAAGTTTTTTTCTTTTGTTGTTCCAAGACAACTAGAAATTTGGTAGCACTAGCGCTTCTTCCTGAATTAGCTTTTAACTGTACGTGTAGCTGATACATGTTTTTTTTTTATATGTTCTCAGGCCCCGGTGGGACGCATCTTTTTCACTGGTGAACACACAAGTGAAAGATTCAGCGGTTATGTACATGGTGGATACCTCGCAGGTAGTATATGAATTTCCTCCCAGAATCGAGTGAATATCTTGGTAGAGATAATTAAGACGTGGCTTGTGACACGTTCTCTCTAATGATGAAACAGGCATAGACACAAGTAAAGCTTTGTTGGAGGAGATGAGGAAGGAGAAGGAAAGGAAAAGCGAGTTCGTAGACCCATGAGATTAGAAGACTCTCGTAGTGGACTTGCCCATCAATCATATGATTCCCATTCAAATAATTGACAATAAGATATATGAACTTTCTAAATCAGCATGACCCTGCTAAAGGGAAAAATTAAATCCAATCAGCTCTGCCTTTCTTTCTTAAGCTCATTTACATATGTTTGCAATGCAGTTCTTCAAATTAAATCTACCTAGCAAAAAGGCAATCGTCATTGGGTACTTCTACTGGGTCATCCACTCTTATGTAGAAAGGTGACAAAATTTTAAACAGCAAAGCTTAACGAGGTCCGAGATTATACCTAAATGGTAGACTTTCCTTGGGATGATTCCCAGCATTAACCACGTGAGTAGAATACCACAAATGTGCCTGGGGAAAGTCACAGCCCGTCACTTGAATTAAAAATCTACTATCAGGGGGTAGATCAGAGGGTAATAGCATTTCTCTTGCTTTCCAAAGCTAGATGCCGAGTTTGTTGATGGATTCCAGTCCGGAAACTTGACTATGAAATCTGTATCATGGTCCTGAAGGAAAGAAACGATGGTTTTTGCCAGAATTTAATCTGGATAAAATGCTACTAGGCAGTAGAAAATACCATGTCAAAATCATAAGGTCGGAAACATTTGAAGCCCTAGTTGCAGACGAAAGCGCACATCAGAAGATGCTAGTGCTATTCAGTTCAGTTTCCAAGTAACCAATCTTATTCATCTCTGAGTAGCCGCTCAAAGAGCATCTCTTGCATTGTAAGGAACATTCGGAATAGCACAAGATTTCTTTATTGCTAGCGTATATCAGATACATCATATCTTGGACGTTGAGAAATATTGTCGACCGAATTTCTTGACTATCCTCTTCCGTGTAGAAAAACAAAATAGTGTCCTTGACCTTTTCTCTATTTGTTTTACAGGTCTTATAATTGACAAGGAAATTTAAAAATGCCATGTGTAGCATCTTAACAAAAACTATATCTAGATGAAGAATTTATCGAACCCAAGCAGGAAGCCAAAAGGGATGCATGGGAGGACGATATAAGAGTGAAAAGGTCATCAAAGTCAACACTTGAGAAATTACAAATAGAAAAAGAGCCATACCAGTCCCCGAGTCTAGTTATATTAGGTGAAGAATGTATCTTCTTCAATGCTTCTGGAACATTCCCAGAGAAGGATGGAAGAACTGGAAGTACAACAATACATATCAGGAGTCTCATGACCAGCATGATCGGACAGATAGACAATAGACATTAACTTTATTTTTTTTTTGGTCGAAAATAGACATTAACTAAAAAGGTCCCACCACCCACCTGGGTGGCGCTGCTGGAAAGGGCACTCTTCCTCTCGCAAAAGGTTGGGTGTTCGAATCCCGGGCGCCGCAGGGTGACTTAACTGGTGCACGTGTGTGGTGGCTAGCACGTGTCGCCCCCAGGGTTTACCTCCCGGCTGTCGGCCGTGCGGGGGTTCCCTGGGTTACCAAAAAAAAAAAAAAAAAAAAACTGAAAAGGTCCCTTTGATGGCAATTTTCTGTCTTTTCCCTGCTACAACTCTATCGTAGATAATCTCACTGAAAGGATACCTGGATTATCAAGAATTCTAAACTTGGAAAGAGTTCTTCTATACCTCGAATTATGCCTAGCTCTGACATCCAGGACAATATCTGTTACTGCAAGTTTAGCTGTTGATCCAACAAGTTCTGTGATAATGGGTCACCCCACCTATGATGAAAAAATTATTACACCTTAGAAGCCAAATGCTTGTGATGACGAAAAGAAAGCCTTCAAAGCGAGAACAAAATGCATTATATTGCTCATCAAGGCGGAGCAATGAGCTAGCTAGCAGAATCAATTATTAAACATAGTGTAAAGAGCCATTTAATATAAAATACTCCTAAATTTGTTCAACTAGTTACCCTATTCTTTTCCTGTTATTATCATTGAAAAAAAAGAGAAGATGCAGAAATCACAACTCCTCTACCTACCCAAGCAAATTTCCCATGCGAGCCAATGCAAGAAACACAGGTTCGCCAAAAAAATCATCTAGTTCTTCCTTGCTACTACAATAAAGAGGACAAATCAGCAAGATAAGCCTATCATGGTCAGGCATGGCTATAACGGACAAAAGCTGAAACAATAAACTGACTAAACCTCAGAACACAGTAGGAAACATGAATTTTAATTAATTGAAGATCCAGACAATAGCACCAACTCAATTACCTATTCATAAGCCGATAACTTTCCAGACTAGGTATTGGGAAATCGGGTACAAAAAGGCATCTGCTAAATTTCAAATGTGTCCTTGTCAATCAATAGCAACAGACAAACAAATGACATGAATTTGCTATAAAGAAACACGAGAAACATTTCAAGACCATCTTATGGCAACTTCGTTTAATATGTTTTTTTTTGGATGATGAATGTTAGATAGGTAATGGAAATAGCCATCAGATCACTTGGTCATGTGTTAGTAAATTCAACTATTTATTTATCAATCAATATGAGTTGTTACGGCGAAATCAACACTAAGAACTGCTTTTACTTTGTCACCAATTTTATACAGGATAATGCGAAATGTTACCATGAAAACTTTTTGCCAAATGGCTTCTTGTCCAGTAAAGGCCAATGGTAGGTGAACTCCTTGCAAAGCGATCCAGGATCTCTTTTTCCCATCTACTCCAATTCCACCAGACATAAGACTCTACGATGAATTGCATAACATCAAGTCATTAGCTCCTTGAAGAACAAAAACTGTCAAATAGATAGTATGTCCAAATGCAAGAGGGACCCTAGGTGCTTTTGCCTCACTTATCTCAAGCATGACGAACTAGCTACCTGACTTGCTAATAATATCACCAAAGCCTCAATGTCACATGGTGAAGAAAACTTACAACTTGATGTAACGACATTTTGATAATAGCTCCATGGGATGGGTTGCTGAATCATCACAACCTTGCCCTTCAGCCTACGCAGGAATCCTGCCTAAGGAACATAAGCCACCTGTATGCTACCAGTCTTGTCCCAGGAAACATGAGCATCACTCCAATACTTCAAGTACCAATGCAAGCCACATGCTAATTCAACTGCTGCGGTACCTTTAATCCTGCAGTGAAATAGACAAAAGGAAAGAGCTTCAACAATGCAGAACTCACAAACTAAGACTGGGTAATACTCCTTCACGCGATTAAAAATGAAAGGCACGCTGCTCCACTTGACAAAAACAATGACTACATACATTATCTCAGACCCATCATTCTCCTCGTAATTTTCAATCAAAAAGCAGTTCTTTCCACCACAAACATCCTGATAGGCAAACCACTGATAGTTACACTCATATGACTATCATGTGTCAGAAAGACATTGAGTAAAAAAGTTTGCAAAGCGACATTTTCTTAACCTGATCATATGCTATTTCCTTCAGATGGCACAAAGCGTGCATTTTCACTGTTCAGCTAATAGATACCCTCAGAAAGATATTACTTGAACCACTTTTTTTGGCTACAGTAGCTAGAGATATGTACTTAAACTGGAAAAGCTAAAGCCAGTTCAATGCCAACATCGCATGTAAGTAACTTTTACCGAGACCATCAATACACTAGAGCGAGTTGTACTCTGAGGGATACATAGGAATTTTGACGCCATCACTAAAGGGAACAAATCCATTTCATCAACACCTGAAAGAACGTCCAAGAAACTATAAATTGGAAATGAGAAAAGCGCAGTGACTTGATAAGGGTCACCAAAAGGCTAGACATTTTCATATTTCCTCAGTCCATTGCTGCGGCTTGACAATGAATGGAGAGAGCAGACCCCCAGCTTCTACTTTCGTTCCAGAGGACTTGAGGCAACAAAATGGATATGCATCGTGAGTAATGAAAAAAGGAGACCTTGGGTACGATCTTGAGTTGGAAGCCGTGGGAATGGAAAGGAAGCATTCTTTGAAGAAGGCCTTCAGCTGCCGTTTCTCGAACCGATGGGGATGCCCTTTTGGACGCCAGTTGGGTGAGCAGAGCCTCAATGACGTCCGGCGACGATGCTGATGAAGTAATTGTAATCACGCTGAGCAGCAACATCAGTGTTAAAATCTTCACATTGGACAAGAACATAGTTCAGGAACAGAAAACGAACTGGGTTTTTCAAGTGTTTCTTTATAAATAGAGGAGAAGAACTGTTCCGACAAGAAAGAGGGGACAGAGCATCATCTGATCATCTCCCCCCATCGTGGTCGGCCTCTGAGAAGGGAGTTTGACTTGTGCTTCCTCGTTGTCTATTCATATTTCTTTATCTTTTCTTCTTTCTTGTTTTACACAAGCCTTATATATTTTGCCAGTTGGGTTACTTCATAAGACATCGTCCCCACCACAGCACGGTGAACCAACACGCACCGCATCAGGCGGTCATCAAACGCCCGCCTAAAACCCTAGAACCCCCCCAACTTCACTTCCTTCGCTATCACAGACCTACTTCTCAATCTATCTGCGCACTCCCGGTATCGTCGTATCAATTAAAGCTTCGATTTTTATCAGCGATTCGAGGAGAGAAAGATTGAATTTTTGTTGTCGTGGGAAAGATGGAGGTGGAAGCAGAGCAGCGAGATGTTAACAACGTGATGTGCCAACTGGTGGATCCGGAAGGAACAACCTTGGGTCCTCCCATGTACCTTCCTCAGAACGTAAGATTTGAATTTGATCTTCAAGTTTGCTTGTGTTGATGCACTGTTGCAATTGTATATGTGAGCATAGACCTAGAATTTTAAGCGAGACTGGGCGTGTTTCTCCCTGGAGATTGGTTTCACGATCTCATGCGGTTCTTGTTGAGAAGTGTAAACCGTTTTATTAATTTTACTTTGTTTACTCATTATGTGAACATGTTCTTAACTTAGAACATGACCTTTTCTCTTGTGTGAAGTGAAACACTGACTTCCAGATTGTTGTTTTATTGCCAAAGCCCTCTGGTCGTCAATGCTTAACTTTTTTCCGAAAAATTTCCTGTTGATTGATTTACATATTTTCGTTCTTGTTTACTAAATTTCATCCATGGCCGAGATAGTTTTTCAATTTTCTCCCTTTTTCTCTAATGGATTTTATACTTTTGGGATAACCAGGAGGACAAATTGCCGTATACTTTTTATATATCGGACCAGGAGCTCGTTGTCCCTCTCGAATCTTACTTACAGAAAAACAAAGGTCAGTAAAGAAGCAAAGGCCTCATACTTTTGAGGAGCTTCCTCGGGTCTGTAACTGCATATCCGTCATTCATTTTTAATTTGGGTTTACATTGCAGTTTCGGTGGAGAAGGTCTTGACCATAGTCTATCAGCCACAAGCCATTTTCCGAATTCGTCCTGTAAATCGCTGTTCAGCAACAATTACTGGTATGAGGCTGACTTTCTTATCCATCAGCTCTGGTAGCTACTGGACACTATCCATCTTTCATAGTATACCTGATTCAGTTAGACTGATCTTAGGCATAGCATAACATGCTATCTGTTTTTTTTTTTTGGTGGAGGGGTGGGGTGGGGTGCAATTGTATCTAGGAGAGCTATGTTGTGTTGATTATGGATAATACTGTTTCGATCCTTATGGAGTGCTTGAGGACCTTTGCTTGACATTTTGTAATTAATTTGTTCTTAATAAGCAATGCCTGTATTATGCCTAATAGTCTGATATGTATAGATTGAATGCCCTTTTAAAGGTTCATTTCTCTGTCGTTGCAGGTCACTCAGAAGCTGTTCTTTCTGTGGCCTTTAGTCCTGACGGGAAGCAACTGGCTAGTGGTTCAGGAGATACCACAGTCCGATTGTGGGACCTAAATACTCAGACTCCGATGCTTACATGCAAAGGTTGAAAGCCAGTCACAGTCCGCACAATACTTGCGGTAGCTTAGTCTCGTGGCTAGCCTATTCGCCAACTAGATGTGTCCAATGCTTTCTTTCACGGCCACTTATCTGAAGAAGTCCACATGACGCAACAGCAAGGATTTGTTGATCCCCAACGACCGACTCATGTTTGCCGTCTTCGACGCTCTCTCTACGGCTTAAAGTAGGCGCCACGCGCGTGTTACCAGCGGCTCAGTTCATATCTCCTTAAAATCGGGTTCTGTGTATCTACTGCGGACTCTTCTCTCTTCATTATGCATACTCCACATTACAACATTTTTCTATTTGTCTATGTGGACGATATCATCCTCACAGAGTCACCTCAGGCTCCTCTACAGTCCTTATTCAACTCACTCCAAGGTGAATTTGCCATCAAAGACCTTGAACCCCTTCATTATTTTTTGGGAATGGAAGTTCAACACAACTCCACCGGCCTTCTACGCAATCAAACCAAGTTCATACAAGAGATCCTGCAGCGGTCCAAAATGATCGAAGCCAGAGCTGCTCCTACTACTTGCACTTTATCGTAGCATTGTTGGAGCTCTTCAATACCTCACACTCACATGCCTAGATATAGCTTATTCTGGGAACACCGCCTGTCAGTTCCTTCATGCTCCCACCATCATGCATTCGCAAGCTGTGAAACGGATCCTACGTTATCTTGCTAACACTCCACAGCATGGGCTACATTTTAGCCGTTCGCCCTCCACTGCTCTCCATGCGTTTTTCGACGCAAGCTCGGCCGGTGATCGTGACGACCGATGTTCCGTTGGTGGCTTCTGCATCTTCCTTGGTTCCAACCTTATTTCCTGGAGTTGGCGCAAACAACGAATAGTTGCTCGCTCTAGCATCGAAGCAGAATACAAAAGCCTAGCAAACACCACAGCCGAGCTCATTTGGATAGAGTTTCTACTTCGCGACCTTCGGGCACTACCTTCACACCCGCCTGACTCTGGTGTGACAATCTCTAGGTTATCTATCTCACCGCGAACCCGGTTTTCCATGCCCGCACAAAGCACGTGGAGATTGATTTTCACTTCATCTGGGAACGCTTGGCACGTTGTCAACTCTCGGTTCATTATATATCAACTGTTGATCAACTAGCCGACATTTTCACCAAAGGACTCTCATCAGCTAGATTTCGGAAGCTTCAAACCAAGCTGAATGTCCATTCTGCCCAATCAGCTTGCGGGGGGATGTTAAGGGAATCAATCAATCACCGAAATTCAAAAAATCAGCAACAATCAGGAAATCTGCAACAATCACGCAATCAACAACATTCTGGTTCCACCAACGATGGTAACACCAAAGAAGGAAGATTGGAAGAATCAAGCAAAGAAGGAAACCCACAACACAATCTCCACCAAAGAAAGAAACAAATTGACATAATCAAATCCTCACAAATCAAGCATCAACAAATCACTACATCAATTCCCAATCAGTGAATTACGTTTCCTTTCAAAACCCCCTTAAGTGTAGATATTGGTCTTCTTGTGAAAGTCTATAAATAGAGCCTCTGTAATTATACAAAGGCACGACAGAAAAATATAAAATGCAAAAAGATTATTTACACATTTCTTCCTCTATTCTTCTGTTTAATTCTTCCTCACTATTCTTAGTTTCAAACATTGGCGACTCGGAGGCGGAGCAGACTGTCTTATAAAGACCAAATACTGGTCACGATCCAAACCCTTTTTTGTCGCTTTTGGCTGACGACAGACGGCTTCTTGCAACTCGTAAGCCATTACGCATGCGACATTGCTGTACCGATCGAGTCGACTCCCCTTCTGAATGATAATATACGCTTCGTTTTGACTTTTCTTTGAAAAGTTCAGATTTTTCCATTTCTTTGAGCCAAAGGTTCATGTTGCTTTCCAATATCCTGGGGCGTGCCCAAGTTCGAGAGGAACTCTTGCAACTCCTCATAAGCAGCTTTATTTTAAGCTTTGAGATGTCGATTTGGAATTTTCTTTTATATTTTCAGTCCACAGAAGAAAAGTATCTAGTAGTTGTACTTATCTAGCTCTTAATTTGGGATAAACCATACTTAATCCCGTAATTTATGACTTTTTTTTTTTTGTAATTGGCCCTCAAACTTTTTCTCAGATATATTGAGCCCTTTAACTCACTTGATTTTTCCGATAAAATAGTCTGTAGTGTAAAGCCACACTTACGTGTGTGCTTGAGATGCACAGGAGCTCAATCCATATATGCTGATATGGTCCAACCCTGAGTCCCATGGAGTCTCCGACATCATTTGGAGTTCACATGCACGCATGGTATGAGGTGCAATGTAGTTGTTTGTGCTCGTCTGATGTGTGCCTTTTGTTATATACATAAGCCCTGTGCCAATGTTGGTAGTTCTTGCAAAAAAGTGACGAGCAATAATAAAAATTTTACGAGAGGAGAAAAGAGCCCTGTGCCAATGTTGGCAGTTCTTGCAAAACGAAAAAAGCAATAATAAAAAGAGTTAATGTCATGAAAAACTCCAAATTAATACACCTGTGATAAATTTGCCATAAATTAATTTTTTGACCACAAAAAACTTCAAACTGATACATCCGTGATAAATTTACCCAAAACTAATGTTTTGACTACCAAAAATCTCAAACTGGTATACTCGTGACAAATATATCTTCTGTTAAATTGGATTAATACCGCGAAAAGCCATAAATTGATAAATCTGTGACAAAATAGAGGAGTAAAATTCTAAACTAGTATATCCGTTAATTGCCACGTGTGATCCAATCAAAAAATTTGATGGTAAAATTTAATAAAAACTAATGAAGGGTAAATTTGTCATAGGTGTACTAGTTTGGGATTTTTGGTGGTCAAAAAATTAGTTTGAGGCAAATTTGTCACAGGTGTATCAGTTTGGGGTTTTTCATGGTATTAATCCTAATAAAAATTAGGGATAATGACACAAAAATCCATGAACTTTGGCTTGATGTGCAATTTGATCTCTGAACTTTTAATTTGTTCAATGTGATTCAATTTAGTCCCTGAACTATATGAAAATATACAATATAGTTCCTGAACTTAAATTAATGGAAGGACTACATTGAATATTTTTATAAAGTTTAGGGACTAAATTAAATATATACCAAAAGTTCAGGGATCACATTGAACAAATTAAAAGTTTATGGACCAAATTGTACTTCGAGTCAAAGTTTAAGGACTGTTTGTGTCATTTTCCCTAAAAATTATAAGGGAGGTAAAAAGAGAAGCCGTCGCCCGAGAGATTCGAACTCTCGCGTTGAACGCCCACCAGCACACGCCTTAACCGCTCGGCCGAAAAAACATATTTGACATTGAGAGTCATAAATATTTTATTATACTTTAGAAAAGCAAAAAAAAGAAAACGTCGCCAACCCTCTCGGGCAACATACACCTTAATCATTTCTGTCCATCGCCCGCGAGATTTGAACTCTAGCCGGGGAACACCAGCCACGCTCCTTAACCACTCGGCCAGGGCGATACTTATGCCTTATAGCTATAGATAGCTATAAACAACTTATAATCATCTTGCTACGGACTCTTTCTAACGTGTTCTGCCCCTTTTCGGCCGTTGGACATACAACGACTTGCCGCCCACAGAACAGCGACACCTTTCGTTTTCTCGCACCTCTCATCAGGTCCGTTCTCCGCGTGATTCTTTGAGGTAATGCTTCTTGTTTTTCCTAATTTCGGCTTACATTTCTGTCCGTGGACCCTTTTTCTTGTGTGTACGTGTTGATGTTTTGATTTTGCCTTGTGGGGACATTGAAGTTCCGATTCCCGACGATCGATTTTGAGGTCTAAAAGTGAAGGGAGTGAACTTTGTCGAAATGCCATGGGTGGGATGGTTCTTGTTGTGGATGTTAAGTAATTGCAATGGGCGAGGTTCGGTTTTCTTATGTGGGGTTTTGCAAATGTCACTGCAAGTTAAAGGAATTGCTCTCTCTCTCTCTCCCGGATAGTGGAGTAGTTGTGCAGCACCTCGTTAATCTTTTAGTGGGTTTTTGTCGTTGAATTATTGTGAATAGGTCCGGTTTTGCGTATGTTTGTGCCCTTTTTGAGATGAGGCAGTTATATTAGTAAGCTGCAATAGAGGTCAACCGTTTGGTAATTTTGCTAGAATTCACTTCGGTTTTCGACGCACACGCGATGGCGTCCACGGTATGTGTGTGTTTGTGTGGCTGTTTGAGTGCACATGTATCATTTTTCGGGTCTGTCTATGTGTGTTTTCTGTTGTGCGTTGTGCTTGTTTAATGTGGCAACAATGGGAGAACAATAAGAAGCACACTGTGGTTGAATTTAAAAGTTAAAAAAGTTTGTATAAGCCAACGAAGATAGAGGTGTATTACTTTTGATGGAAAATGATATGGTATGCTGGATTTGTTTTGAATTTGGATGTCATCGCACTTTGCTTATCCTATTCTGCCCTATTTCATTGGGATCCCTTCCTACCTGCTTGGCTATCACTATATTACAAGGTACAAAGGACAATACCAATGTTCAAAACCACATTTCCAATGTTTAAAAATGGCAATATCTCGAGACATATGGTCATTGCTAAACAAAATCCAGTTTGACCTGCGACCCTGCAATCCATCTGGCAAAAGGATGCAGATATGTCTAATAAAAAATCTGTATTAACCGAAGCCAAGTTAGAAAAACTCAAGCTTAATCGGTTCACCTCTCTTGACCTGTTTCTGTACATTTAATTGAATTCTATCTATTGTTACATTGCTGTGTGCATTTTGATTGTGTGATTGATTGGAATGAATTGGATGTCATTATGAACAATCCAGTGCAAGTCCTTGGAGTACTTTGAATTTCCTTCGTGAAGAATCATAGCTTGGGGATGGTGATGATCTTTTATATAATCAAGCTTCCACTTTTTCTCCTTTTCCTATTTGGTAATCTGTTCGACCATTTTGTTACGACTTAAAAGCTGCAAAAAATATTCTTCCTCAGTGTCTTTTCTGATTTTAGTTGCAAAGATTAAGTAAGGGTTAATAGACACATGGCTTAACCACTCGGCTGTTTCCACAGTGCCTCACCATGGAAGCTCTAAAGAAGGTCTATCGAGACGACGGCTTCCTCTCTGTCCGCAACTCCATCGGCAAGGTACCTTTGCTTTCATAGTTTGATTGTTGTCCGGTGCCACATTTTGGTTTTTCGTATCCAATACTTGCTCTCTCTGAGAGCTGCATCGTATGGAAATTTGCTGCATTTCCTTAGTAGTAATGGAGGTTCTGGTGATGGGAATTATGGAGGAAGAGGTGAAGGTGACAGTGGTGGAGGTGGTGGGAGCAGTGGAAATAACTGGTCCTTGCTTTCTTGATAAAAATGCATTTCCTTTGCTGCGATTTTTTGGCCTTCTGTGCCCTCTCTCGTTAATTATTTGTTGGCTTCAGAAATCAGAATTTCATAGCTTGTTGTGGACCTTAGTGGCTTTTAATGCATAATCGCAATTGCTGAAGGGGTTTTGATGATTGGCCTAATTACGTATTGGTTTAAGGATGCTGTGGTGGGGAATAGTGAGCGTTTTCATGGTTTTAAGTTCTAGGACTGTAACGAGGCAAGTTTTCTCTGTGTATGTGGGTGATCAAGGAGTGTTCAAGCAAAAGTTACTTCCTTCATGTTATCTTTGATGAGTTAAGGCACCGAGAAGAGACATGACTCCTAATTTTGGATATGAGCTGAGTTCTTGGAAAACTCTTAGCTTAATAGCACAGGAACAAAGGAAGACATTTAGAGGTTTTTCCTGTATGAGTAGAATCTAAGTGATATTTTTGGCAGAGGGAAAACCATGCATATTACATTTTAAAGGCAGACTTACTGGAAGGGGATCTTTTGATTCTGTTGTTGATGGGTGGGAAGGTGTTTCCAAACTGCCTCACCTGCTTTTCTCATCCCCAAAGACCCCAAGGTGTTTTTTCACTCTCAAAGGTTCGTGGTCCTTTTTCCTTTTTAAAACACAGGGTTGTAATTCATCCTTAATAGTCGTGTCGCTGATAATTGGGTCTGTTGTGTTCAGTTACAGTGATATAGCAATCAAGTTCAGGAGTTGCAAATGTCTAGGAATAGAGGAAATAGGAGTCAATTTCAAACTATGAACAAGAAATGAAGGGCAAATATGGAAAGGAAAAACCTTCAATTCAAGATTTCTACTACTTTTTTTTTTTCGCTGAAATGGTTTATGCTACTTAGGTCACCTGCATTTCCACTATCTGCATAGTTTGATCATTTGAGTCACCACTCTGGAAATAAAAAACATCCTTTCTTTTGCCAAGAATTCAAGTATTTTGCACGACCATATATTCCTATTATGCTTCTGTTTCGACTAAGTATTTGCTTGTGATACAAAAGTGTTGATAACTTTATGCATATACTTGAATCATAGTTGATTCGGACTTCCCGACAAGCTGAGGACTCTGATGTTCAATTTGCGGACATTATCGTTGAGGAAGACGCTCTAAATATTGTAGAGGGCATGCCAGACTCTGATGTTCAATTTGTGGACATTATCGTTGAGGAAGACGCTATAAATACTCTAGAGGGCGTGCTTGAAGGCACTGATCATCCACCAAGAAGCAAGTGGGAGCTTCTAATCTCTATCTTCTTCAGGGATGCAAGGTAAGGCTCTCTAGCTGTATCTTTGAATAGCTAAGACTATTGCTAGCTATTATAACACTCTACTTAGCCAAAAGTAAAAAAAAATAGGAATCTTGAAATCCTGAATAATGCATAGCGCGCAATTTAATGCTCAAGGTTTCTAAATGGATTGCAGGCATGTGTTCATAATGGATGAACTTGGTCGAGAGATATTGGGGCTTGCTTTTCCAGCTGTCTTGACTTTGGCTATCAATCCAATCACTTCCTTAATTCATGCCGCCTTCATTCGTCGTTTAGGTATGACCATCAAGTCTATGCCTTTTCACTTGAACGATCATATGCATCTTCAATAAACTCTAATGCGGAACATTTGGTGAATAGATGACCGGTTTTGCTGATTTATTTGTTTTGGTGCCTACTTTTATGTGGATGGTTTCAAAGTAATAATGAATTTGAGAACTTAGCTCATCTTATGATGGCTAGTTCAGGGACACAAATTTCTGCGCTTTGCAATGACTCATTATACTAGCATCTAGACTTCAAGAGGTATGATAACTGGATGGATACTATAACGTATAGCAACTTTGTCATGGGCAGGTCGAGTGGAGGTTGCAATTGTAGGAGTTTCTAGTGCTGGATTTAATATAATTGTGAGCATTATTACATTCGTACTAGGGAGTATAACCGCTTCGTTTGTCACCAAAGAGAAAACTCTCGGAAAGGCAGAAGGTGAAAGCAGAAGCTCGACTATACAAATTCTGGAGATACATGGCCAGGACAGTCCACACCGGACCTCAGGTATAAAAAGAGCATCTAGACTTTAAGAATGTGATAATTGGATGGGTATTAAAACGTATAGCAACTTTGTCATGGATAGGTTCAAGGGAGCTTGCGACTTCTATTCCCTTGTTTAATCAAACTATCGGACTTCCTGTGGTCAGTATAACAGCTGTCGAAGAGGAAAATGCTAGAAAAGATGATGAAGTGGTTCCAGTGGAAGGTACCTTCCAGTCCCACCTGGTTAGTTCCACCATTTAATTGGAAGACTTGGCAAGATGTCGGGTCTCTAATGACTGCACTTTTGGTTGACCAGATTTTACAGCATCTACATGTAGCAAGGAAATGCAACGTATCCCTTCTGCAACTACTGGACTAGTAGTTGCCGGGATCCTTGGTGTCTTGCTCACGTTATTTCTATCATTTGGTGCTGGAACCTTCTTGGCTTTTATCGGGTTTACATATGTAAGTGTCTTGATTATGTTTCTTGTTGAACTTTTTAACTGCTGAAAATCTCCTCAGGTATACAGTTTGATTAGATGATATTACATATGAACGACGAAACGTGCATAATATCTTCGACAACTTCCGATTTTTAGGGTGTCTTCTCAAGGAACGTGATAGTGTTAGACATACCTTGATACCTGAAACCCCTTTTGGCCCTAGCTATAAGCAACACAGCACCAACCTACATCCCAAATATATATATTGAAAAACTCTTGTGATAGTTTGCATGCGCATATAGACAAAAAACAATGAAACACAAGTGGCTTAGGCCAACTAATCCTTTCCCTTTCCACTATCAAGATAGTAGCAATGACATTATAGACATTTGGTTTGCTATCTTCATTTTTCCCTTGCTACATGATCATTTACTCTCTTGTTTTTGAAGTAACATTCGGCCCGAGATTCCAGTGTGGTATATTTAAGGTCACTCTAAGCTAGTAATTACTTGGATTGCCTTGACACTGCATTAACTAATTGCAGTTGTTGCTTGTTTTGATAGGGTTCTCCCAGACAACTCTTTGCTAGAAGGTACTTGAGATTACGATCCATAGGGGTTCCGGCTGTTCTTCTTTCGTCTACAATGGAAGGCGTGTTCCGAGGCTTCAAGGATACCAAAACTCCTCTTTATGCCACTGGTATGAGAAATGATATTCTTACTCTTAATCAAAAGTTATATTTCCAACTGTTGTGTCAAAATGGTAAATCTGCATTTGAGTGATATCATTTACTTTAGACAACATTATCTTTTCTTAAGAACTTAGAAGTATGGACAAATGGGCTCACAATGTATACACAACATATTTCTTAATACTTCACATTGTGCGTAAATCAGTTTGATATGTGAAATTCAAATCAATTAGATGACTAGAAGCTGGAATACCAAGAGAATAGGCAGAATTGTAGTAATGAGGTGTCACAATTTGAAATCTACACTTATGCTTTATTTGAAATTTATGCTTATTTCTTGGTAGTTGTTCGATTGTTTATTTGATTGGTTAATAACAGTTGCAGGAGAGCTCGCATATGTTGCATTAAATCCGACACTAATCTTTGCTTGCCATTTGGGTATTAGTGGTGATGCAATTGCGTATGTTTTGTCTCGGTGAGTACTGCCATCCTTCGATAATTTTCTTTGATTATGTATTTATATTTTTAAAAGTCAAATTGAATCACATATTCATGTCATGATGTCTGAAAGCATTGACAATCAACCATGTCCTCTATGTTTCTAAATAATCTTGTGATTTCACCAGGTACGTAATATTTTTTATTCTTTTGTGGAGACTGATGAATCGAGTTGATCTCTTATCTCCAAGCCTTAAAGATATACATTTTCATCAATTCTTAAAGAATGGTAAGTGAATATTCTTGCGTGAGCAAATGCCCATTGATATATGGATAAACTAAACAATGTTATTGCTTTGTCTTCCTCTTCCTTAGACAAAGGGTCTAGAGCTGTCCTTTAGGTTTTACCTTTGTCTAATATGAATAATGATAATTTATTTGCTCATAGATTAATAGCCATGTGCTCCCCGGTGTTACAATACAGAAAAAGCTGCCAGAAAAATTTGATTGTCTTTCATGTTTGTATTGCAAAAAACTCTTCTGAAATTTGGGAAGATTACTAATTCTCAATGAATGCTTATGTTTGTTCACAGGACTTCTTATGTTGTTAAGGGGGATAGCTCTCACATCCCCTTATTTCCTTGCTACCTTGCTGGCTGCTCAGCTGGGTTCAACACCTTGGGTTGCATTTCGGATATGCTTAAGGTTTTGGAAGGCATCATCACCTATTGCTGGTGGTTTGGCCATTGCTGCACAGGTAAAACTGCTTCCTTGAATACTTTCTAGAAATAAGGAGCACTTCCTGTAACACTTTCATTGGATCTTTAGGTGAAGCAAATGGGAACTTCTTGGCTATGGTTTTCATGATGTTTGATTTTAGTAACTAAATGAAGTATATTCCTTTGAAAGTTTTCTTGTTTGTTGCAAAGATTGTGCTATAGCCTACTCTATGTGCTGCTAATTATAGCATCATCCTTTATCTTATAACATATGTTGTCAGCCCTGTATCGATCTTTATAGAAGTTCTTAATTTTATAATGTGCAATGTCCTGCAATGTTGGTAGTGATTATTGACTAAGATGTCCCTTTTCTACAAGCAGGCAATCCTAGCAGATTCATTTAGGGAGAAGAAAGATTATGACAAGGCAACTACGGCTGCATCTAGAGTATCACAGGTACTTATTTTGATGAATAATAATGACTTTTTGAACCACCTTATCTTGAGAATTGGAGATTTCCGAGAGCAAAGAGAAAGAAAAGAAATGGCTAAAATTTCTTAGACTGATAGACTGAATGATAAGCAGTATTTGAGCATGAAAACAAAAAAGGTGTGCAAATATTCAGCACGGTAGAAAGAAGCATCATACCCATTTAATCTTCTTTTGTTGCATTGTCTTCAAATACACCACATGAGACAAAGTGGTGCAGCACTTCAAGATTCTTTTTGAGATAAAACCAGCATCATATTTCGGGGGAAACATCTAGTTGTTTCCCCAAGAAAGTCATTTGGCCAGACTCACGCAAAAGTGCAGGGACACATACTCACATATGGTGCATGCCTGCTTTTGCATGTGGCCATACACATATGCACACACTTGGATCCGAAAATGTTTAAGTGTGAACTGTAGTGTGGCTGCACCCCTATCAATATGGTTCTAGATATCAGCCAATGTCAAATATCTCATCCTATGTTTCTCTTGAAAATTTGCTCCTCTTCAGGCATGTAGGACAGTTGACACATATGTCCAAATCACTGGCAGGCGCTGTGTTTTGCACCTTTTACACCCATGCAGTGCCGTAGCTAACACTTGCTGGTTGCTAGCTAGGCATTCTAATTTCACAACTATTAAATCTTGCAGATGGGATTTGTTCTCGGCCTGGGGATCACTGTGATTGCTGGTGTTGGTCTGAGATTCCTATCTGGAGTATTTTCAAGAGATGTCCATGTTCAACATTTCATTTTTGTGGCAATTCCGGTATGTTCTCTCAAGTAGCTTAATGCCTTACCATAAAAGTTTTCTTGTATAAATTGAGCAAGTCATCTTCATGTGCATACCAGTTTGTTGCAGCTGCACAACCCATCATTTCCTTGTCTTATGTCTTTGATGGTGTCAATTTTGGAGCATCAGACTTTGCCTACTGTACATATTCAATGGCAAGCCCCTAATTCTCTACTACTAAGATCTATTTTTATCCAGTTTGACTCTTCTCTAATAAGTTTTTGTATGCAGGTTTTGGTCTCTATTATTTGCGCTGCTCCATTATTCATTCTCTTTAAGAATGACAGTTTTGTTGGAATATGGGTCGTTCTGATTATACATAGGGTTCTTTGGACTATAGCTGGTATTTGGAGGTATGATTTCTTGCTTTTTTGATATTTTCCAGATGAACTCTTTCATTTATATCTCATCACTAGAATTTCCACCTCAGTTGACCATTCTGCCTTATATTTGTTGTGGAGAAGTTTGATGAAGCACTAAGTTAAGCACCTTACTATTTGGAATCGGTTTATCAATTTGGAGCAGAAAGTTAATTTCCAGTATATAGGAGTGTTATGGATTAGTAATCCCCCACTTGGATAATGTTGATGAGCATGTGAACGTACAATTTTGCTTTGTTTGATGTGGTTTTGCAGAATAGGAACTGGGACCGGACCTTGGCGCTTTCTCAGGGAAAGACTTCTTCCACTGCTTCTATGATTACTCATAAAAGGGTAAAGAGTAAAGTGGTCTTTAATGCTTTAGGGCTTATTTTGTTAGTGATTACTTAATATATATATAGACTTTTATTGAATAATACAATATAATTTTTCCCTTTACATGGTATCAGAGCCAATAAAAAACCCCAGTTGCCAGAGCAGCCACTCGCCGCCGTCAACTAGTTGCCGGAACTGTCACCCACCGCCACCAAAGTCGACTGATCTTGTAGGAATCTCCTTGTCACGCTTGCTCTATCGTTGCAAATCCAGATCCGACTCTGGCGAGCATCATCTGGCCCAGATCCGGTGTCATCCAGCATCGACCAGCCAAGATTTGACACTGATCGAGCTCCTCGGTCCTCTAGGAAAACTTTGGGTCAGCAAAGGATGTTGTTCAGTACTCTGTTCCTATGTCTGGACTGATGGTTGGACTGGTTGCTAGTACTGTGACAACCTCAATTTCCCTTTAGTCTATTTTTTCTCTTCCTTTAAACAATGAATATTGCACTATAGACCATTGTTTTTTATCCCAGCCTTTGCTGTGCTTCCTCTTTCCAGACTGAAGTGAAATGAACAATATGTAACTTTTGAAGGAATTATTTAGGTATTGCTATTAGTTCTGAGACATGATTGATTGTGCTTTTTTGATATGCACAATTCACAAGCATGCGTTGTTTCCTCCTATTGTTGCACGTCTATGTTTGACACATGTGATTCCATTGGCATCTCAGCCATAACATACCCAGCTTTTCATTCATTTTTTAGGCTAATGACCATAAATTGAACTTGTTGAATTGTGCAAATATTCATTTGCTCATTTACTATATGTCAGATCTCTACATTCTTGGCAATCAGCTTTAGGAACTAGTCCTGATTCTTGAATCATTCCATTGGCCGGTTGATTTCTCCAGTATTCATTAGGCTACAGCTTCACTCAGTCAAGACGATGCAGAATGAGAACTCATTCTCCTCTCCATTTTACCTTCCAACTTTCTTACTGGATTTTCTCATCAGAATTTGGCTCATGATATTAGAATTTTGACTTTGCTATGTTGGTCAACTTGCGGTAGAATCTTTTAGGGATAAGTGCATTCAAAGTCCTAATACTTATCAAGAAAGTACAATTGAGTTCTAAAACTTTCATAATGTGCAATTAAGTCCTAAAACTTATTAGGAAAGTGCATTTGAGTCCCAAAATTTTCAAAAAGTGCAAACAAGTCCTAAAACTTGTCACGAAAGTGCGAACAAGTCCTAAAACTTGTTAAATTGGTTCAATCAAGTCCTTCCATTTATTGTACTTTTGAAAGTTTTAGGACTTGATTGCACCTTTGTGATAAGTTTTAAGACTTGATTACACCTTCGTGATAAGTTTTAGGACTTAATTGCACTTTTTGAAAGTTTTAGGACTTGATTGCACTTTCGTGATAAGTTTTAGGACTTGATCACATTTTTTTAAAGTTTTAGGACTCAATTGTACTTTCTTGACAAGTTTTAGGACTTCTAGTGCACTTATCCCAATCTTTAAATGTCTGATCTTTTGATGTTACATGGCAGATAAACTTTTCTTATCTTACAGTGGGGGAACACAAACAAGCCTTGGTAAAATTGGTAACTTGCGAGAGGTCAGTGGAAATCACTGTTTTATCTCCTCGACATTCATAAGTTCTACTTGATTCACAAATTGTTGTGTGTTTTGTAAAATGTGTTGATGATGGCTGCAACCAATGTCAGTGCTTGCTTTTGTACCTCATTGTCTATCTAAATTTTTACTATCTGGAGAGTGAATTGGACTGTTCATTCTTGGAACTCTTCCATTACATGAAATGTGAGTGTGGTCTTAGTGTATGTGTTGCTGTTGCAACTGGAAAATCATGCCTCCATGACTTCTTGCATGTTTTCAGAAACTTTCTTCTTGTCAAAACGAGTTGTTGAAGGTGTTGGTGAGTTCGGTTAACTTCTGTTGGCATCTATCCATAGCTCGTGGTTTCCCATTAGTTTCGATGAATCCAATCTCGCTTCCTCGAGCGTAATTCATTATATCTCGTGGATTTCGGCAATTTTGAGGTGGACCTTCTGAAATCGTAGTGAGTCAACGACTTTCTTTTTGAGTTTACTTGGGGTTGAATGGCTGGTTACATTGAACTTCGACTGCTTCTCTTCTCACCAGAAGCAGTTAAACGCAGTCTTGCTGCTGAAACGGAAGACTCCCGAAATTTGGATCTTTTTCTTTTTACTTTTTGGGTCGAGGGGTGGTCTGCATTTGACCATTATTCGAAGTCCAAGAGGTTCTAAAGCAGTTGTCTGCATCTATGACCTGAGAGAGCGTTTTTCCAGTAATTATTACCTTATAATTCTTCGCACTTTCTTCTAAATTTTTTTAGTTTAATTACCTGATGTAGTCTGTGGACCTCATCACGAGTATACAACCATGTTGATCCATGTCGTCTTCTGTTAGATTCTTCCTCAGAATTCTGAAACAACCTTCCTCCCAATGTATTTTTTCTTCCCATGAATGGGTCATACTCTGATAGGTTTACTCTTGGAGAGGCAATCTTACATATGCACATTCCAGAATTACAATTTGCTGGTGAAATGTAAACTAAATGTCTAGCAATGTATTATTCTCGAATCTTTTGAATTCCTATCCATCGTGCATAATCCACCCACCTGTTACAAGAGAGAACAAATATGTACTTCTGAGAGCATTAAAGAAAATTATGTTATCAAAATGACAGTCAGCGCCAAAAGTCTTACATCAATGAACCCAAGACTGTATTGCCAGTTTGAACAGTGAAGCAGATCGCACTGAGTATGAATCTATGATCTTGTGCTGGTGTAGCAAGGGCTCTAAGATTCTTTGTTCAATAACGCCAGCCAGCACCTGATATCTGTTCACCAAAATAAATAGCAGAATATCTTATGATACACACACATACACGGATACAACTTGAAAAAGCAGAGTAAATTGTACAAGTGTTCTTCAAAATTAGACAATCCTCCCAGATAATTGGTGAAGTATAGACTGAATGCAGACCAGATTAGAAAACTATCTGCGTCTACACCAGTCCCTTGCAATCTGTATATATATCCAAAACAACTATTGAGATATAAGCATAGGCTAAGAAAAGTGATAACACGCAGCCACAAACCTTAGATTGCTAGAAACTGCCATGTACACTCCGTATGCAACATTGGTGGAGAGAACAGGCACATCCTCTGCCTCAACCGCAAAGGTTTTATCGAAAAGCTTTCATGTATTTATCAACACATTTGTCAAAGCTGTACCAATCTAAAAAACAATTTTCAGGATTGTTCCCACAGTAATAATGTTACATTAAAAGGAACAACTTCAATAGCTTTTTTTTCCTTGAGTTCAACACCCAGAGGAAGTCCCCAAATATTACTCAAAAATTCCTTCAATCTATACTCTGAAGGACCCAAACCAAATGATTCGAACTTCTAAGGGGTTCTATTCATGTAACATCTGGCCAAGGCCTTGTTAATGGTATGGCAAGCAACGATAGTGAAATATACACAAAAATACCAGTAAAACATTCTTCTGTCACTTGAATGAGTGAAGGGCTCGGAACAAGTAAATAGGACTCCGAACAAGCATTAACTATACATACAAGAGAACGACACAAATAGAGGAGACTCTGATGCAATGATAGCTGCCAAAATTAGAAGAATTGCTAATTTAAAGTGACATACCAAAGATGCACCAGTCCCCACTACGAAAAGCTTGGCCCCATTATGCTGTACTACAGAACAAACCATTATAAGTTCTGATCTATAGTGAAACCATTTCGCTAAGTTGAACTAAGTGCACGCACATACCACTATTGCACCTATTCTCTGCAACAATGAGTAAGAGCTACCAGCCAGAGCGACCTGCGGGTAGATTGTCAAAGGAAATGAATTGTTATATACCGTCCATTGTAGTTCAAAGACCTATCTAATGCCAAAGTAGTAATGACCTGAAAAGCATTATCAGGACAGCCATAGAAGAACGTAGAAAGTGATCCAGCGTTGATAGCGAGGGGAGGTCTGAGAGAAACGGTGGGAGCAGGAAGCCAGACCAGCATAAAATCTGCTATAATGGCCATCACCTGTCACTTAATAGAACGAGGATTTTTAGGATGCCCAGAATGAGAGACTAAGAAGTGTTTCTAGCAATTTGATCAAATGAAGACCAAAATGATTTAGGTGTGACACCAAAGTTTCCACTGTGAACCAGACGCTTTTCCCATTACCTAGTGGCCAAGCTAAATTTCTCATCAAACCAATGCTATCAGACACTCAATCTTTGCAACATGACAAGTGTATATTGAAACAAAGCATGGGGTTATCTAGACACAATAGTTCATAAATTCTAAGATGATAACCACATAATATTCAAGAGAAACATCCATACCACATCAGCGAAAACAAAATCCAGCTCCTTTGTAAACTTTCTGTTCGCCGCTCCAACTCTGCAGCACTCTGTAGAAATAGCAAAAAGGTACATGAACGCATTTTCATATGTTTGCATACTTCCACATCTTTATGGTGATTTCAGACTTCAGTTAACATTACCCATAAATAAGAACCACAATTAAGAAATCCAAAGAATTACTTTCTACCACAAGAAAGAAAGAAAAGAACAGGAGACAGAAAATGAACCGACCGTAATTTCAAGTGTTCAGTGATTTGTGCAGTGCCTTTTAGATTTTTAAAGTGTCTTCCATTACATTTCCAAGACTTAAAACTTTCAAACTTCACTAATCTTGATGGCTCAATGGATATACTAAAAGAGTTTTAAGTTGAGAATAGTCTCAGGAGTGCTTTTGGAGAAACGATTCATAGTCCAACGTGACCCAACAAAGCATGCGCGTGAGTGCAGTATAAGCAGTACTGCAATGAGAGAGAGAGAGAGAGAGAGAGAGAGAGAGAGAGAGAGAGAGAGAGAGAGAGAGAGAGAGAGAGAGAGAGAGAGAGAGCAACCTTGGTGAAGATGCCAAC